GTGAGCAGGCTGCTGACAAGCTGCATGCTGAAATCCACCCAAGTGCTTCAGAACCAGGATAGTGTCTACCCTCAAATCTTCTCACATTGATAACGGTGGATTATTGTAATGAACACTAATGATTTCTTATAGACACGATGACCTCACCCTTCCCCCTCATTCCAAGATTAAACAGTTTTTCCTGGAACGCTGTGACACTTGGGCTGCCGCACATCTGTCTGATAGCTTTGTGTTCCTGCGAGCATCACAACTCACTCGTTGCTCTTTATTAGTGTTGCTTTATCCCATCGGCTCTTCTGGAACTCAGAGGCATGAAATTCCCATCTCCTTCCACACCCACAAAACAAAGGTGCAGAATACGGCAAGGGCTGCCGGGCTGCTTCCACAAAACACCCAGCCGGTCGTGTGGGAAGATAAACGGAATAAAAGGCAATAAAAGGAGTAAAGCGGAATTAAATGGAATAAAATAAATGGAATAAACGGAATAAAACGGGATCATTTCGCTTCCTACCAGCAGCCCGGTCCTTAAAAGCGAACAAAAGCACGCACACGAGCCGAATCCGGCAGTGTCACAAGCCGCCCGCCGCCGTGCCCGCCGCTCTCGCCCTCCCTTTGTTGCCCGGTGCCACCTGTACCGCGCCACGCGCGGGCTCCACCTCACCGTGGCCGCGCTCCGCTGACAGCCGCCCGCAGGGCGCCGCGGCCGCCGTCAACGGAAGCCCCGGCTTCGAGACGGGCAGCGCGGCGCGGCCCCGGCGCCGCTCCCCGGGCGGGCAGCGCCCCGCCGCCTCTCTCCCTCTCCTTCTCCCCGCCTGCCTCCCCCCGGGGAACCGCCGCCCGCCCGCCCTCGGCCAGCCCGGCGGCGGGTGACAGCGGCGGCCATGGCTCCGCGCGGCGCCGACGGGCTGACAGCCGCCGCACCGAGCAGGGCAGCACCTGAGGGTTGCCCCGCCGATAGGAGAGCGAGGGGCGCGGCCGAGCCTTACCTCCTCCCGGCCCGCAGCTCCGCCGCCGCCGCCGCCTCCCGCCGCGCGCAGCCGCTCAGCCCCGGCCCCGCTGTGGCCGTCGGGTTTGAAAACAGCCCTCCTCCTACTCCTCCTCCTCCTCTTCCTCCGCCCGCTCCCTGCCTCCCGCCCGGAGCTGCCGCTCCCTTCCCCCGCCCGCCCTTTGCACAGCGCCACTCCCGGAGCGCAGCTCCGTGCGGTGCTGTTGGCCGCGCCCCGCCCACGTGGCCTCGGCCCAGGCACGGGACGGGGGGCGGCCGTTGGGCTGGCGGGGGGCGGGCGTGCGGCACTCCGCTGCCTGGCGGGGTAACGGGACCCGGGGCTGGGGCGCGGGGGAGGTCGGCGAAGAGAGGGACGGGGCGAGCGGCGCGCAGGCGTCGCGCCGTTCCGGGCAGCTACAGCCGCGGAACGTTCTGGAAACGGCGGCGGTGTGGCCGGTACCGGGCGGGGATGGGGTAAACGGACGGAGCACAAGCACGGCCGAGGAACCAGGAGCCGCCCCGGATCGGCGGCCGCCTCCTCCCGCCCCAGAGGCGCGGCCGCTCCTCCAGGGAGGGGTTTTCCGGCGGCGATGGCGCAGTGAGTTTTAACAGCCGGCGCAGTGAGCATGCGCGACCCGGAGGGCGCCGCGCATCCAAATGAGGCGGTGCGGAGCGCGGTGCTGGCGGCTCGTGGGCACGGGGCGGGCTGTCAGTGCGGGTGCCTGAGGGAGCTGGGCCTCTGCCCACCTCCGCCTGGCCGGTGCCTCGCTTCGTTTCCGTCACCCATCCCGCTCCTCCGGGTCTTCATCCCGTGAGAGAGCTACGGGTCTACGCTCCGGAGCCGGGCATGCACTGCAGTGTGAAGCTCGAGCCCGCTGCTGGTCTTTAAACATAAATATCCCTTAAGAATTCTTTCGTGTGTACTATCCACAAATATGACTTATTCAGAATCAAAGGATGCTTTGAAAATTTAAACATTTTTAAATTGAATGGGCAGGTGTTCTGTTACTTTACTTGAGCAATCTGTGGGGTATAGCAAGGAGTAGTAATGTGTCTCTGTGATAAAAAGAATAATTGAAAATACGGTTCTATTGCTCTTTCCTAGAACCAAAGGTGTGTCAGAATGGCTTAGGTTGGAGAGGACCAACCCCATGCCATGGGCAGGGCTGCCACCCAGCAGCTCAGCTGCCCAGGGCCCTGTCCAACCTGGCCCTGAGCACCTCCAGGAATGGGGCACCACAGCTTACATGGCAGCTGTGCCAGCGTCTCACTGCCCTCTGGGGGATTTTCTTACTAACTTAAATCTCTTTTAGTTTAAAGCCATTCCCCCTTGTCCTGTCGCTCTCAGACTGTGTCCTGTTCCTCGTGCCTCCATTTCTGATGGGCAGAAGTGCTGGCACAAATAGAGAGGCAGCTAAGAAGCAGGTGCTTACCTCCTTCTGTGCAACGTGCTATGGGTAATCATAGAGCCATAGGAGTTGGGAGGGACCTCTGGGATTCAAGCCCAATCCCCTGCTAAAGCGGATTCCCTCCGGTAGGTTCCTCAGGAAAGTTTCCAGGTGGGCCTTGAATATCTCCAGATGAGACTCCACAACCTGCGCAGGAATGCCTTACTTTCATGAAGGCTAACTATTGTTGCGCATCCCCTACATGGCCTGCTGCTGGTAGAGGCTGGCATCACATAGCCCAAATGCACCCATGCTGCACGTCATGTTGTTGTTTAGGTAAACGTGTCTAATTTGCTTTCAGGAGTTTATTGTACTGGTCATGTTTTGTAACACAGCTGCCATCCTTTCCTCTCTGATGCAAGCAATGCATCATGTGCTGTCAGCTGACCAGAAGCAGGTAAGCAGATGCCAGTGACCATGCAATAAAAGGGAGCTGCATTTACCTCATGTTCTTTTATGTTTGGTTGATTACAGAGGTCATTGCTTGAGGTGCAGGCAGGCTGACGTGCAGGCAAGCTACAGACTGTCAGCCCGAGTGGAGTATTTCCCAAGGCAGTAAGTATTTCCCAAGACAGAGTGTTTGTTCTTCTCACAGTACTATATAAGGCACAGTATGATTCATCCTCCAGCAATGACAGGCTGCAGGTGTAGTGCATGCTGTAATACTGCATACTCCTTGTACAGGTATCGTGCAGCTCCAAGAGCTCCATTTAAGTTGGTGGGTATTCACAGGGAAGAATCTTGGAATAGCTGCCTTTACATTTGTTTCTTCTCCTTGGCTCCAGAGACCCTTCTTTCCACATAGCACAGCTGCAAAACTCCTTTGTAGCTGAACTGTGTTGACTTGTGCAGTACTTCCCTTGATCTGCCTTCCCAAGCCAAACATCTTCTATCATCAGCTGTGAAAACTACTGGGCTGAATCAAGATAAGCATTGCAGCAGCTGGTCAAACTGTCATGGCTGTAACTGAAAGACTGCAAATCTCAAACTGAAGTACTAAAATCTGAAGATAGGAACCTTTTGCAAATTCTTAGAACAGTGTCACGCCACTGAATGCACATGTGCTGGCCTCTAGCAGATAACCAGCAAATCAGCTCATAAGCCCACTTTAATTTACTCTACAGACAGAACTGAATTTCATTGCTTCTTCCTATTTGACAGGATAGTTCCAGGTAACATTTTTCAGTTACGGAGGTCACAGAAATCCTTTCCATTATCCAGTGTCAACTAGTGGAGTTTCCTATTACTCCTTACTTTATTCCATTTTTACCAAAGGAAAAAACTACCACCCACTCTCTGCCCAATGGATTCTTTGTGTGTCTTCTGCTTCCATGTTAGAAAACTCCAGTTTTCTTTCCCAAGACTCAACCTATTTTTCTTAAAACTTTCTTTGCTCTAAGTTGTCTCTTTTCCCCACCACAGTTAAAGTGCTTTTACTTGTACAGAATGAGTACAGCATGTAAATTCTTTCATCTTTCCCTCAGTAATAGGTTCTGTTACTGCAGCTTTACCAGCTTAAGGAACACATACTGGCTTTTGCTGTAGTTAACTCATTTTTCATCTAAGTCACCAGCCATGACTTTTACAGTTCAAGGTACTGAATAGTAGAATTGAAACTGCAGAGCTGTTTTATTTATTTGGCATGTTAGTGTCAGCTGCCTGGAATTATTATCAGTAATCTACTATTTAGGGTTGAGAATAGTGGAAACTGTCTCTATAGTATTTGTATAATCTAAAATCCTTAATACTACTAGCAAAAGCAAAAAATGTACCTAGAGCTATTCAAGGATATTGAAGAGGATATGGAAATATTAATTACTGCACTATTCTAGAGCTCTTCTGCAGCAATCATTTTTAAAATCCTCACATCCCTGCATAAATTATTGTGAAATTCACTAAGTGTATTCTGTGATTGGATTTACTATTAGTGTAAAATTCTAGTTCTAAGAATTTTGTAGCTAGTAAGCAATTACACATAACCAGTATTGCAGTAGCATGTATACTTCTAGTTGAGATATTTGAAATTTTTAAATGCTTAAATTTCATCAAAACCTGAACTTGAGATGGTGACAGAGTAGTAGTTACTTGCTTTATTCCTCTTCAAATTATTTCAGTTCTATAGCTGCCCCTACACTATTCAATTTGAGCAGTGGTGTATTGGGCTTGCATCTGGCAATAAAGAAGTTATTCTTTTTCAGGCAAATGATTTGCAGATCAGACTTTTTTTTTTTTTTAATTGCCTTTAGCATTTTTTAATCAGGAGATATACTTCAATTTCACACTTTTATATTGGTTCTTAAAAATAGCTTGCCAAATTTGGAATTTGGCCAGCTTTATTATTTTTTCCAAAGTAACTCAAAAGTAGTTATAAGAATTTTTAGTGGTAAATGAAAAGATGACTGATGCATCACTGATCACAAATGGACTCATTCAGCAAGTCACTTTGCAGTCTACAGAAGCACTTTTTGATAATCTGAATGATGATTAAGCATCGCAGCAGTTCAGATCATGCTAACCAATTCCTTTTGCTTCCTCCCTCTTCCCCCCCAAATATTAACCGTACGTCATTTTACTGTGATTACAATTACTTTATTTCCAGACAGTTTAACATATATTACAAAACTCCTCAGAGGTCAGCTCGAACTCCAAAACCTGGTCCTTTGGGTGGTTCAGTCAGAGATGTTAGGCCACCAGCTGGCTCACAAGAAAAACGTCCGCTCCTGAAAAACAACAGCAGTTTCATTCACTACTGGTATTGTATGATATTGTATTCATTCACTACTGGTATTTGGATACAGTTTAATCACTGGATAGAATATAGTTACAAAATGGCTTCAGGCTGAAGCCACTTTTTTCATTTGTTCTCATTCATGCTTCAGAAATGTGGGATGCTACCCTTAAAACAAAAGGCTTCCAAATTCAAGTAGTGTCAAATAGCTTTGCAAATGAAATGCAAGATAGGATTTTTTATTTATTTATAGATATGCAGAAAAGCAATGTTGGTTCCAGTAATCCCAAAAGCAAAATCCAATTGTATCAGTCATGTTTTTGTTAAAGATGCATCCCTGTATTTAGAAAATGTAACTTCAAGATTATCCTCGTACTCTAAAAAAAATAAAATTATAGCAGTAGGAATAAAAAAGACACCTAAGTCAAAAGTGCCAATTAATTCTGCCATTCATACATCTGTGTATTTGGACTAACGCAGAACAATAGGAAATAATAAGTATGTAAAGCTCCATAATAAGCCTTTCACAGATGTCAGGTCTTTCTGGTATTTGTTGACTTCCATCATCTAGGCAAAAAAACAACCAAACAAACAGAAAACAATGGGCAATGCCATTCACCTATTAGGTAATAAGTCAAAACTGATGCGTTCCCATTTGATTATCCTGTAGTCTGTCATCAGGAACATGACATTAGTCCATCCACTGCTCTTTCTACATATTCTAAGTCAAAAAGATCTGCAAAGGCAAATAGCTTTAACAGGAATTTAGTTTTCATTCTCAAGAGGAGAAGCCTTCAAGTAGTTGGCCGCTGTTATACAAATATGGCGTACCTTGGGCCGGGTTTGGGAACTTTACCAGCCTTTAGCTCATCAATTATATCTTCAATATCTTTGGGTGTTAAATCTTCCTGTTAAAGAAAAAAAGACGATAAAAAGTCAGCAAATTTGTTAATTGTATTAATTGCAGCATTTACAATTAATCAGATTAGTGGTTCTCATAGTTGAGATCCTATCATAGGTAACTTTGATCCTGTCCATTAACACACATGTAACGGGTTTGAAGAATCAGAAGGGCTAAAACCTTAATTAGAACATAAAATACAAACTTCAATATTGTTATTATGTATAGTTGCAGAAATTATATTAAAACGAACTGTTCACAGTGGTCATCTCTAACATGGGCTTGAGGTTTTGGCTTCCTTAGTATATTAGTGAGCTGGATCTTTGGCTACCCATTATATGCAGTGTTGTTGCACATACTGCAAACTGGCATTGGTTATGACAAAAAAAAAAAATACTGCGTGCAGTACAACAGAACAGTTCTAAAGAAATTAAATAACCCTTATTTAAATGCTCTACTTATTGAATGCATAAATTCCTTTGGCATCCAAGTGGGCCATAATTCAGAAGTCTAAAGTTCAAAAATAGCATTCAGCCAGGACCATACTTTCCAACCGACCATTCTAAACTTACTACATATCTAATAAAAAATTCCAGATTTAGAGGTAGGCAACTATTAAAAATAAATAAATAATAAAATCAATAAATTTAACTTCACACATCATTGTGTAAGTCAAGACAGTATCCAAAATGAAAAATACGTGCATTTCATTTTACTCTTATTATCATGTTCCCTTTTTCCTACTATGTCAAAGTAGGAAAAAAGTAGTTTAACATACTGGAAAGAACACACTGACCTAACCACAGATTCATTGATGGCCTATGAAAAGACTGTTGCCATGTTGTAACAGCACTCCCAGTGTTTATCTCTGCTCAGAAACGATGGAGCTATTAGAAAACATGGCTTTTGTTCTCTGCAAACACATAGCCTTCATATACACTGGAAATTGTAGATGTTGTAGAAGAGAAGGAATAACCATCAGTGTGAACAGCATCAGTGATATGTCATCCAAAACTATTACAGAAGGCTTTGAAGAAGAGGCTGATAAGAAAAGACTTCCAAATCATAGAATCATAGAATTGCTTAGGTTGGAGAAGACCTTGAAGATCATCAAGTCCAACCATAACCTAACTATTCTACCCTAACTCTAACAACCCTCTGCTAAATCATGTCTCTAAGCACCACATCCAAATGGTTTCTAAACACATCCAGGGATGGTGGCTCAACCACCTTCCCTGGGGAGCCTATTCCAGTGCTTAACAACCCTTTCTGTAATGAAGTTTCTCCTGATATCCAACATAAGCTTACCGTGGCGCAACTGGCTTTGAACAGATGCCCAGAATAAGTATGGCCATTACTTTACAAATGCAAATAAAGGAAGGCTTGATAAAAGAAAAATCTGAATTTGCTTTCCATCACTTGGTAATTAAGTAGTATTGTGTAGCAGATACTTCAGAAATGCAACACCACACATCTTCTAAGATTTTTTTTTAACTCTTCAGCAGAAGTCATCACTTTCAGCTAACAAGTATTGGGAACTAACCCTCTAGATAATATTGTAGAACTTCAGTGATTTCTATTCTTAAGCTATGAAGTAAGAAATTTTGCCTCTTACAATTCTTTGTATAGATATTCTGAAGAGGATCAAAATTTTAAAGTGGTACACCTGAAGAGAGGCTCTGAAGAAGAGAAACAATGCAACTTCCATTCAGCATTCATATTAGCATTCAGCAGAACCAAATAGTTGTTAAATGGGAGAAAGGGCACACACAATATAACAATCTCACGCTTAAAAAAAATGAAATACCAAAATCAGTGTTTAGGTGTGATGCAGTGAGTTAGACACGCACTGCCATTCTGTATGGTCATCCATACTGGTAACATGTTCAATCCGTGCTATGAACTAACAATAAGCTTCATACTTCTGTACAGTAAAAACCAACTGGCTGCCCAAGTGACTGTCAGTAGAAATTGTAGTGCTTGACAGCATACATTTTAGAGCTTTAGTAATCATTTATTAATGTTAACGTTCCATAATCTTAGCTCTGAGCATCCTGCTTAGCAGTAGTTTGGACTTTTGTTAACTTTACATTCTTGCAAAGCCTTTAAAAACATGACTGACACAAAGTTTTTCTTTGCAGCAGGAAAAAAGCACAACAGAAAATAACATTTTGCTTTATGCCACCAAATGCAATACTTTCTGGACTTTCTTCACAGTGTCTATACAACCCTATGCAGCAGAAATCTTTTTCTTCCATTCCATTATAACACTGCTGAATGACAAAAGCAGGCTGTTGGTGCATCGAGAGTATAAACTGTCTGCATTATTTCAAATGACCAAAACAACAACGCAGAAAACCTACGGCAAAACATATACAGAATCCTGTTGAATCTATACATTTTAGGAGAGCTGGTTTCACTGTGTGGAAGTGCAAAAACAAGCTGACTTTCCAGCAGATGATGTATTTTAGTGACTTGTTGAGTGAACGATATAAATTAAAATTTGGAAACTACAGTGCAAGGCTGTGATATACAGCTGCTTAAAAAAAAACCAAAAGGAAAAAACAACATTCTCAGTCTGAAAGCCACCTGTGAGAAAGTTCATTCTACTGTCTAAGTATGCCAAAACACTACTTCCACAAGAATATCCATGATCTCATCATCTCATTACAAAAACAGAAGCATTAACACAGTGTGTTTGTATAGAAAGCAGGAGGCACCAGTACATTATCATACAGATGAAGCGTTCTAGGAAGAAGCCAAGAAAGTAAAAGATACTGAGTTAAAAGCTGTCCCTGCCAATAGGAATTCAAAATAAGAAAACCAGAATCTGAAAGAATGGAAACAGCCTACCAAAGAATTTTAGCTTCTTTATATATATACACACACTTACATATACACTTATACATACTATGTATAGTACTTACGTAATAGTTGTCATTTATTTGTACCATTGGTGCATTTACACAAGCACCTAAGCATTCCACTTCTATCAGTGTGAAGAGTTTATCAGGTGTTGTTTCCCCAACTTTAATACCTAAAAAAAAAAAAAAAATATTAGGTTCAGCAATGGGTATGGAACAACATTAGAATATTCATTATTGATCCCATCATAATTTTCTCATTGTTTGTACTTCAGCTACCAAAGCACTGATACAGTTAAATCCTCTTAGACAAGTCCAAAAGTTTTCTGTTAAAGGTTCTAATAAACTGTGAAGTCAGTCTTTGGACACATTTTTGAGAGCAGACTTACAGGTTTGTTTTATTGAAAAATAATCTTAAAATGACAGTTCTGAAAAACAAAACAGCTCTACTCAGGAAGAACTGATATGCAGAATGGAAAAATAAGGAAGACAGAGCTTTCATGTGTTGTTGATATTAAACACATTCATATTCATTACTGGATCTCCAAGTTAACCAAGATGTAAGCAGTAAGACTTGGTACAAATTCATAAACAACTTCCAAGTTATTACACAGAAGCTTCTTTCCTGAACAACTCTGTACACATGCTTAGCTTCCATGACGTGTTTCTGTCCTAGTGATATCACCACTAAAGATACAGAACTTGCCAGAGGGCAGGTTACCAAAAATAACATCTGAGTCTGAGCTTGCCAGAATAGTCTGTGGAACACCAAGCTGCAAATTTCCTCCACAGTTAATAGAAAGGAGCAAAAACTAGTAAATGTTTGATTGCAAATCAGTAAGAACTACACAAACGACCTTAATTACAAGAAGTTGCCCTTCCTTTGATTTTTCAAACCAAGTTTTAATTAAAATTAAACAATTTATGCAACAACAAACCAGGACAAATTTAATCTGAAGATGCCTTTTCCAGACAACAACATAGGAGGAGGAATATTACAAGCAACTGCTCTGCAGCTCTTAGCACTGTGGTTCTAATGAAACATCAGCACAGCTTCTAAATGTATAGAATGGGAAAAGCTGTTAGTTGTTGACCTTACCCTCTCTTTCCCTCATAATCATTCAGTGAGAGAAAAAACACAAACCCGAGAGTTCTCCTTACACCTTATATGATGCAGAACTCTCAACTCACTTCTCCCATGAGAAATTTATAAATTCTATTCACTATTTATTTATAAATTCACTATTTATTTATAAATTCTATTCAAGTAGGTTGAAAAAAAAGACTCATAAATAAGTTTCATATAGCATGTGCCTTAAAAATCTCATTTTGCATATAAAGCGATACAGCTTTTAGAGTCTTCTTCTGTATATCGGATAGGACTTAATTCTCAGTCCAAGAGTCATATTAGAATAATTCATTTCCTAGCAAACTGCTTTAAAACCACTTGAAGACCACTAAATTGACACTCTTGACAATGGCCTTATTTGTCCTACTGTACTGAAGTATTTGGATTTGGCATTTCTTCTTCATTTTTGAATGTGTTCAAGTGCTTATTTGATGATAATTTCACTCCAAATACTAAATATTTTTGCACTGCCCCCACCATATGAAGACTTTTGCTTCAGTTAGGTAGCAACGCATCATTAAACCAGTGTAAAAAATACATATGCGTATATAAAGAAGGATATTACAAATGTGTATCATACCAAGTTTCTTCTTTATGGCTTCTAAAATGCTGTCAGAGTCTCGCAGCATACAAGGCGTGGTAGTGCAGACCTGGATATGGTATTTCCCAACAGGTTTACGATTATACATTGTATAGAAGGTTGCTACTTCATACACTCTCATGGGAGGCATTTCTAAAATTTCTGCAACCTATAATAAGGGGAAAACAGACACTATTTGAATTCTCAGAGGGCATCAATAAGGCATTTATGAAATCATTTCAGTCAGGTCACCTATTCTGTATGTGCAGTAACAGGGGCTTTGGTACTCCAAGTAAATAGAAAAATGGGGATGTGTGTCCAAGCACAACTTTGTGCACTTTTCTTAAGCGCTAAGAGAAAACACCGGAGTTACTCTGATTGGAGTCAACTTTGTCTGAGCACAAGCTCCATTAAGCCAAGGATTAGCACAGTAAGAAACTCAGGTCAGTCCTCATCCAGCATCATAAACAGGCTAGTTTCAAGGATCAGCTGGATTCCAGCTTTCATTGTCAGCTCCAGCTTGTAGCGTACTTGCACTCTTGCTGTATGAATGAATGAACTCATATGAATCTGCCCACACTAACCCACTTCAGCTTTTTATCAAAGGAAACACGTAGAGGCAGTACTATACTCACCTAATTTAGAGACAGCAGGCTGCCTGGGGTACCTGGGGTACTGTGACAACAGCAGGCCTGGCCCTAAAAACACCACTGAATCACAGCTAGCAAATCCACAGTGATGCACTACTCGTGAGCCAGTTCTGGTGCAAGTATCCTTTATCTCATTAACCTGGAACTCTGGCAGACTGTTCAGGTTGAGAACTGACTGTATTTCCTAAAGTGTAGCTGTTTTATATTCCAGTACCAAGCCACAGAAAACATGTGATTGTTTTAAAGCCTTGCTTCAAAGGTCATTCCAACATAATACCACTCACAAAATTAACAAACAAGACTTATCCCATTCAGTAGTGATGGAGATTTGTGGCTTTATCCTATGTAGTAGGAACAGTAGCAGACAATTTGCCCTTTTATATGAGTACTTCACTCATACTCAGTAACTTCTATAATGATCACAACCCTCTTTTAGCTTATCTTGACTGAACTTCAAACATTTCATTTGAAAACTGATATGCCAGCCTGTAACACAAAGTGAGAGTAATTTGTATGAACAGAAAAACTGAATTATTTATTGCTATTTACTGTCACTGTGGAACACTGCAGCTGCTTGCTTTTTTTTTTTAAACAATATTAATAGATAATTTGATAAGAAACTAGTCTTACTGATATTTGCTATGAAGCATTATGAAATACACATTCCAAACACTACATCACTGCATGCTTCGTGGATCTTTCTACAGGCCTAGAGGTGAAGTACAATCCTGGCCGTGCATAGCACCACTGATGTAAAGGGGACATGAAAAAGCATTGTCATCATCACCCTTCTCTTTCCTCCAAATTCAGCATGAATGTCTTTCAAGTTTCTGATGCTACATTCAGGATAATTCTGGGAAGAGCCTGTCTAATTTAGGCCCACATAATTTTTGTTCTCTTCAGTTCCTAGCAGTGAGGTAGCATCACATAAACAGACACAAGAGTTTCATGCATTATTTTCCCTTTTTTTTTTTACTGCAGTCTCAGAGGGAATTCTCGCAATTCTGTGCCAAGTGTAAATTCCTGCATTAAAACACTTCAATTAGAAAAAACCAAACAGTTGTATTCTACTATTACAAGTCAGATTTTATGCTTGAAAGATAATTCAGCACTAAATACCTTGTTCATAGCCGATATGGGCAACCATCCATGCTGCCTCTGAGCCAGATCTAGCACTGCCATGACAGCTGCAGATTTGTGTCCCCCTGGGTAACTGCTTACGATTGCTTCTATTCTCTTTAGAAAGATTAAAAAGCAAAAAACAATCAGTGATAAGCTAAACACAAAGTTTGCATATGTATGTTTTTGTTTTTTTTGTCTGCCTACCTTCTTGTTTTCAGGTGTGAACTCAAAGGGAGTATCTGGATTATTCTCAGGACTATCTCTGTGCTTCAGAAGAAGAAGAAATAGTGTTGTCAGGAAATTATTCAGGACAGATTTACCATTGCAAATTATTTCATTAGACAGTTACAGTGGAGTTACATCAATAAAACTCATTTGATACATTCCAGATAAAAATTTAATAGTACTTAATCATAAATGACTAACCATCTGTAAGAAAGTCATCAGAAACATTCATAATTACTTCATCACTCTTAAATAAGAAAATATTAACTTATTCCTGTTATTTCCTATTCAAGTAATTATTTCTTCTGCAAAGTGGTGTCACTTTCAAAACAGACATTTGGAACAGTTGATGTATTTTGGCAATTGCGTTCAAACTCATCACAAGCAGATTTAGGAGTCCTTTAGTTAGTACCTTAATAAACAATAATAGCCTATTTTCCTTTTCTCATAAGACACAAAATGCTAAAAACTTAAAAAAAACTACCAAGTATCTTGCTACATAAATAGAATGGCTGAATGTACTAGTAAGCTACCTTCACATTTTCAATTTTTTTTTTAAACGGATTTCAACTTCTTAGATAGATTTCATGGAATCACAGAATGTCCTGGGCTGAAAAGGACCACAACCATCATCCAGATTCAACCCCCTGCTGTGTGCAGGGTTGCCAACCACCAGACCAGACTGCCCAGAGCCACATCCAGCCTGGCCTTGAATGCCTCCAGGGATGGGGCATCCACAGCCTCCTAGGGCAACCTGTTCCAGTGCATCATCACCCTCTGTGTGAAAAAGGAATTCTGAATCAGAATGGAACAAGCAGAACCTTCAATTCATAGTTCCAAAATATGGCAGTTTATCATATTACTTGTAAGGTGGTCTTCTTAAAAAGCATCAAATGGAAATCAGTTCTAATTCGTGTGTTTAGAAAATACAAGTTTGGAAGTCTTGAAAAAAGTGACATTTTACTACAGCACAGTTTTAGTTCTGATCCTTACTCCCTAGAGAAGCCTATGCAGAACACAAAGTTGCTCATTATAGTATCTTTGACATACCCATAGCTGAGATTAATTCCAAGCTTTACGCTGTTTTCAAACTGGGAACATTTCAAATTAAATGGAAAGTGTACACAAAAACAAGCTGTACTCAAGGTTTATAACTAAAATAAATACATAATCAACTAACAATTCAAGCCTTTAAGGAAATGTATTTAGGAGGAAAAAAGAAACCTACTTTGACATTCACTTTAATTCTCATACAACCCAAATTTTATAATTCCCACATTACTTTTTCTTTTCCTTTTTAAGAACTGAAGGATTTCATGAACGATTTAACATTGCAAGAAACTGGCAGTACGATAAGATCTATCAGCAGTCAGAATTTGTATGGTTCATAGCTATTCCTGGATTTAGAAATTTTAACATAGAAAAACCCCAAACTCAACTTCCATTTCTCTCTGATGTTCCAGTGATTAATTCCCCTGGCTTATCCTGTCCATATGCTCAAGCAAACAGTACTACTGCCACTGTCAAGTTAGAGAATGGGTATCCCTTCTGCAGCTGGGAGCCTTACAAAAACGCTGTCAGTACGTACTTCTCTACCTAGAATGACTTGCCTTAATAACTTAATTACCAGAAATAACTGACTTGCTTTGAACAGTGTAAGCTGTTACAAAGTATGAATGTGCTGTTTGTGTTGTCTAGAAGATAACATAAAACAACTTTTAGGAAGATGTTGCCTCTATTTTAGACTGAATGTTCAAGATAAAGGATTTGACTCATCTTATGTATTGCTGAAGAGGGTTTTTATCCCAGGCATCCATACAGACTGGAAGAAGCCATCCTTGAGAGCAGCCCTGCAGAGAAAGACCTGGGGTTCCTAATGGATGAAAAGCTTAACATGAGGCAGCAGTGTGCTCTTGCTGCTCGAAAAGCAAATGGTATCCTGGGCTCCATCACAAGAGGGGTGGCCAGCAGGGACAGGGAGGTGATTGTCCCCCTCTACTCTGCTCTTGTGAGGCCCCATCTGGAGTACTGCGTCCAGGTCTGGAGCTCCCAGTACAAGAAAGACAGAGCTGTTGGAGAGGGTCCAGAGAAGAGCAACGAAGATGATCAGGAGCACCTTTCCTACAAAGACAGGCTGAGGGAGCTGGACTTGTTCAGCCTGGAGAAAGGAAGGCTGCAGGGTGACCTCACTGCAGCCTTTCAGTACCTAAAGGGAGCCTACAAACAGGAGGGGAATCAACTCTCTGAAAGGGTTGATAACTGCAGGACAAGGAGAAATGGTTTTAAGTTGAGGGAGGGAAGATTTGGGTTGGATATCAGGGGGAAATTCTTTACAGAGAGAGTGATGAGGTGGTGGAACAGGCTGCCCAGAGAGGTTGTGGATGCCCCATCCCTGGAGGTGTTCAAGGCCAGGTTGGATGGGGCCCTGGGCAGCCTGGTCTAGTATGAAATGGGGAGGTTGGTGGCCCTGCATGTGGCAGGGGGTTGGAGATTCATGATCCTTGAGGTCCCTTCCAACTCTCGCCATTCTGTGATTCTACCGGCTTCAATAAAAATTCTTAAAAAAAGAGACTGATGCAAAGTACTTCCAGTCTATTTTTTTTCCTCCAACTCATAATTTCTTTCCCTTACAGATCTGCTCTAGGTCTTAGCTGCACAGATAATCCATGATTCATGAGAAGTTCTTCCATAACTTAACTTTTCCTCTTGAATGTGCATGCCCATTTTATCTCAAGCTGCTGTTTTGCCTTCCACAGTTACTGGACTTGCACTTCAACTCAATTTCTTTAGCAGATAAGTGTATTTGATTAATTAAACACTTCTCTTATTGTCTCGAACACTTACTTCATGTGCACCTTTTCTAAACTGATATCCCTTAAATGCCCCCCACATATGAATAAGTATAATAAAGGCTTGATATCTGAATCTACAGGCTGCCACAACTGCCGATTCTGTGCAGGTGAACACTAAACAAAATGTCACAGCTTTTTGCACGCTAGTCTCCAAAATGGGCTTTGCCTAATTCACTACTGTGAACAGTCTGCTAGAGCTTATAGTTCTAGACCTTCTGAGCTGCTACAAATTTGTCAATCACACCTCATCTTCCGTTTATCCATGTGACACGATTTATCTGGGACTTCCAGTAGCTGATTAGCTCCAAAATTGTAAGGGTGCTTTCCTGCCTTTGTTAGGATACAGACTGTGAAGAACAAACTCAGACTTAACACATGACATTGAATCCAGAAGAACTGAGGCTGGCGGAGCCCAGCCGTGGCTCCAGCAGGGCCAGCCAGAGCAGGCCCACATCAAGACAGCTTCTGAAGATCTCCAGGGAGGAGACATCAGAGCCTCTGAACCACCTGTGCCAGTGCTCCTTCACCCACACAGCACTGTGTGCTCCTGGTGTTCAGAGGGAACCTCCTGTGTGCCACCGAAAAGAGCATGGCTTTGTCTTTCTTACATTCTCCTGTCAGGCATTTACATACACTCAGATGTCCTCAACAGTTCCAGCTCTCTAAGCCTTCCTCATAAGAGAAATGCTCAAAAAAAGAAAATACGTTAAGTCTTCCTCCTGTACACAGGTAAGTACAAACTATTATGCAAGTATCAGCTAAAGCTATTTCCTGAAAACCAAGGCCAAAACTCTACCCTGGACCACCAAGTCCTTCTCTGTAGAGCTCCTTTCTAGCAGATTGTCTCCTAACCGGTACTGATACGTACGGTTATTCCTCCTCAGGTGTAGGACTCTACACTTGTTCTTGTTGAACCTCATCAGGTTCCTCCCTGCCCAGCTCCACAGTCTGTCCAAATCTTGTTGAATGGCAGCACAGCCTTCAGGTGTGTCAGCAAATCCTCCCAGCTTTGTATCATCAGCACACTTGCTGAGGGTGAACTCTATCCCTTCATCCTGGTCACTGATGAAGATGTTGAGCAAGACCAGACCCAGCACCAACCCCTGGGGAACACCACTAGTTACAGGCTTCCAAGCAGACTCTGCACCACTAAGAACAACCCTCTGAGCTCTGCAAGTCAGCCAGTTCTCAATCTACCATGCTGCCCACTCATCTATCCCACATTTTCTAAGTCTCATAACATGGATGTTGCGGGAGATGATGTCAAACACTTGCTGAAGCCAAGGTACATAACACCCACTGCTCTCCTGCCAACTACTGAGCTAGTGATGACATCATAGGAGGCTATGAGGTTGATCAAGTGTGATTTGCCCTTGGTGAATTAATGTTGATTACTCCTGATAATAAAGTAACTAGAATAATATAGTTTTCCATGTATACTACAAAGAAGTTGATATATTACCTAATAGAAACCTGACAATTGATGTGTTGTTGATGTGTGAACCCTGTGGTAAACATGGTTTAAGTGCCTATGAACCAAAATGAGAAAACTGCATCATTTGCAGGCAAGAGGATGTTTAAGATTGTTATAAGTTTGTATTAAATCAGCAATAAAAAGAAATTCATCACTTCTTTTCCAATGAGAGAATACCCTATACTCACTATTGTAGCAGAACTCAAGATATAAACATCCCCTAAATAAAGAATGGTGCAAGTGCTCTTAGATCTAAGTATTTCACTGACCATCATCACAAGCTAAGCAGTAACACAGCAGTCAAACCTTCTGTACAGAATAGCCCTGTGACAAAGTCCACACCAATGCAGTTGATGTGTTGAGCAATCTGGGCCCTTGTGCTGATGGCCAGAAAGTAACAAAATATAAGAGCTAAGGTTTAGCTGTTACAGAGGATGAAGACAATAAATTAAGTCAAGTACTGAGATGGCGTATGTGAAGAAAACAGGTAACTATTGTAAATAAAAGCATTTTTGAAAGTAGCCCTTCCCCTGCTCTCAGAAATACGGTAGATTTGGATTACCTTCCTTAGGCTAAGTGCAAACAATCCATCTCATTTAAAATTTGACATATTCTTTCTGGAAGTGCGATACAGTTGCCTGTGATGGTACCAGATTGGATTTAATGATTGAGTAATCTCCCCTTGGCTGTTTCACAATCAGCATTCTTTGCAAAACAAAACCAGGTGCTCCTATGTAAACTGACATACAAAGAAGACCATCACAACAGGAGGTTGGAATTTCTCCCAGGTACACCCACTGTTCCTCCACAATCACATTTTAACAACTTTTGACAATGCAGAAATCACAGCAGACATCTTCAGTATCTTTCAGTAACTAAAGGAGAAAGGAGTAAGAAAGAAGGGGACAGGCTCTTTAGCAGGGCCTGTTGTGATACCACAAGAGGAAAAGGGGAGATTTAGATTGGATACAAGGAAGTTTTTTAAGATAAGAGTGGTGAGGCACTGGAACAGGTTGCCCAGAGGGTGATGCCCCATCCCTTAAGACATTCAAGATTAGGTAGGACCAGGCTATAAGCAACCTGATCTACCTGTGTTTGTCCTGGGGACCTGCACCTGCCCTGGGGACAGTTGGACTAGATGATCTTAAAGGTACCTTCCAACTCAAACGATTCTGTGATTCTATGGTCTTCTTGTGATATTCTAGAAAATAAGGTATTCATGTTCCCTCCTACCCAAAATCTGGGAAAAAAACAATCTTGAAATTTCTTGTGTTAAATTACGTCTGAACTTTGCACTAAAAATTGCTCTGAAGATTTTAGTTGTATTTAGGGCAAACAGTAACATTCACACAGAACGACATGCAGCTATCTACCTCCCATAGCTTTATGGCCATCACAAAAACAAACAAGTCCATCGCCCCACAATTTTCTATGCTCTTCTAGAAAAAAATACATATATGATGGAGAGTGGAAGATAATATTAAATAAAACAGTTACAAATCATAAGCTTACTGAAGCACAAAACTTTTCTACCTCTCTTTTGCTATTTCTGTGCTCCCCCCTCCAGCAAATCGTTAACATAGTAAGATAAATCTTGCAAAAAGCTGAAGACATTACAGAGCATCTAGCATCATACTCCAAACACCAACATTTATTAGTGTGCCAAAGACACCTTTTGCTTTCTTCACCCACCTCAGACTACTCTTAAGGTTTCCTAACTTGTCAGCCTACACTCATGTTTTCTGTACTTCTTGAGTAACAGCTCTCACTCCATACATTACCAATGCCTGTTCAGGGTTTGGAAAAGCATACAAAGCATGTACTGTAACCTCATTAACTTCATCCAAAGTGAAAGCTGTGGAGACAGCTGCAGAAAGACCAAAAAAACAATCCAGCTAAAAACACTGAACACCTGCTTCCAACAAATCAGTTGATTCTCCAGTACAGTGCTGATTTCCAATAAACAGAGGAAAAACAGTAAATTTGAACTTTTGAACAGCTGTTGAACTGAATTCTAGGTGCAGTTTCAAATGCAGAGTGGGAGAGAACACTCCTCTCAGAGATGCTTCAGGTTCTCTTCAGAGGTAGACACACAATACACCTGCTTTTCACGTTTGTATACACACACTTTTATTTATGCGATTACTGTTACTGTATGTGTAACAGTAATGTCTAATTGCCTCAATTATGAATCACTACTCAACTTATTGTATGTCATAAAGCATTAACAACAACTGCACTTTTCAGCAGCTAGTGAAGGTGGCCGGACATGGACTTATGGGTAATTCTGTGGCAAACTGCAGAAGCCAAGAAACTGGGTCCACAGGAAGTTTAGTGTCAAGTTACAAATTAAATTAATTTCAATTGGAAAAAAAGAGGAAATATTGTGATAAATTTAAACAAAAAAAATCAAACATTATACAAATAAGTAATCCAAGTACTGCTAGCATTGCTTGTACAGAAGTTTTCACTACATAAAATAGGAAACACTATGCCAAGAACTACAGTACAACCTTTTGACAACATATCACAACTCTAATAACAGTTATAGAATCACAGAACTGCTCAGATTGGAAAAGACCTTAAAGATCATCAAGCCCAACTGCAACCTAATCAGATTGCCCTAAGTTGCACCCATTAGAAACTTCCAGGAGGATTAAGAAAAGCATATGCTAACCTCTTGTTACACATCCCCTTTCCAGCAAGGTAGAAGATGACTTACCACAAATAAGGCTCCTCCACTTGAATTGCATGCTGGTGTTTTATGTAAGTATCGGATTTGTCTCATCTACAAACAAAACAAAGTTGATGGTATTGATAGCCTATAACTTGCATATCCTTTTTCAGAACCAGTTTGAGTTCTATTTTAGTTGTAAGCCACTCATTATTTTGCCATCCCTAATCAATTTAAATCAAATCAAGAGAAGAATACAATGACTTCTACTGTACTGCAAGAGAGCATATTTACTACACTGCCCGAAGCTATCACAGTGTATTAAGAGAATTTAAAGGACTGAACTTCAAACTGGTAAATGTTCCACCAGTTTGAATACAAATCCTCATCAAACTCTTTATGAAGAATTTTTCAGTTTGTTACTCTGTACCACTGGTGAGCCAAACATCTGGCAAAGGTACCAGCAGTACTGAGGCTTTTCTCATTTACACCTTACTACAGCTCTCTCTGCTGACTAACAGTGACATCAGACAAAAGACAATACACAAAACTAAGCACCTTAAATACAAGAAGAGAGACCTATAATACAAGTCAGTCTCACTTTTTATAGTCTCTGCCTATGTCTGCAATGATGAAACAGATCTGTTCTGCTGTAAAAGCAAATGAAGCATCCCAGCATTACACGGTCCCACCTGCCATGTGACAGCAGCGGTTTCCCGTCACACAATGCCTCCTTGCAGGTGGGTGGATGTGCCGTGCAGCCTTACAGGTACTTCGCAACACGCACCCATTTCCCTTTTGCTCTCCAGTTCTGGCTCGCCTGCGAGCATCAGGCAGGAAAACAATTCGCTTCCTGCTGTTGTCAGAGACCAAAAGGCACTCTTGAATCCACAAATAACTGTAGTGCAGATCACTCCTGCATCCCTTATAGAGTGCACTGCACCAGCCCGAGTGCTCACAGGGAGCCACATGACAAGGCACACTCGGGCAAAAGCCTCAAGGCGAGCACAGTGAGAGGAATGGACCGCAGCCCTCGCACTGAGCGCTCCATCTCCGAGGCCAGGCCTTAGCGCTCTCCCCTGCGAGGGCAGCGCCGAGACCCTGCCCGCGGCCTCCCGCACCGCGCGGCCGGCCGGCCATCCCGCCGCTCCCACAACCTGCAACCGCCCCCTTACCGAGCGCGCGGCCGCGGCCCGCAGAGCAGCACACAGGAACATGGCGGCGGCAGAGAAAGGCGCCCCGGCCCGGCCCGGCCCTCTCCTTGAAGCCTGCGGTGCCCTCCGCGCAGCCACAAGGGGAGCGACACTGCGCATGCGCCAGCACCACCCGCCTGCGCGCGCCTGTCTGTTGCGGCCGTGGCTTGGAGCGTCTCGGCTGTGGTGCGGGGCTGAGTGGGAAAGGGGCGGCTGGGGGAAGCGGCTGGTCAGTGCCTAGGCAGTGCGTATTTGTCTCTGGTACAAACGGGAATTCAGTGCTACATCCGTCCCTCGTTAATACTTCACAGAACCACAGGGGTTGGAAGGGCAATGTTATTAAACTGAGACAGGGGAGGTTTAGGTTAGATATTAGGAGGAAGTTTTTCACACAGACGGTGGTGACGCACTGGAACAGGTTGCCCAAGGAGGCTGTGGATGCCCCATCCCTGGAGGCATTCAAGGCCAGGCTGGATGTGGCTCTGGGCAGCCTGGTCTGGTGGTTGGCGACCCTGCACACAGCAGGGGTTGAAACTAGATGATCGTTGTGGCATTCTGTGATTCTGTGACCTCAACAGATCAAATTCCCTGCTAAAGCACGTACCTATGGATGGCACAGACAGGTGTCCAGAGCAGTCTTGCAGAGCTCTGTAGAGGGAGATTCCACAGCCTCTCTGGGCATCCTGTTCCAATGCTCCAGCACCCTTACTGTAACGAGGTTCTTCCACATGTTAGTACAGAATTTCCTGTGTTCTAGTTTTACTCCTTGTCCTATTGCTACGCACTACCAAGAAGAGCCTGACCTCATCCATTTGCCTCCCACCTCCCATTAGGCATTATTACAGACATATCTGTAATAAAATAGGGGAACATTTCAGGATCTCTGATGAGTTATTTTGGTCTTCAGACTTCCTTTCTTCCCAAAAGAAGCTTGGTTGATTGGGCTATGTAATGTTAGGACCATTTGTATCTATGTTTTGACCTCCCTTGGTCAGAAAAAGCAATACTAAACATTTTATTGTCTTGGTCTTCAATAAACATTTTCATTTTACAATATGATACAGTACAAATATTGGAACTGAAGAAAAAAAAATAATGGTTCTTCCTAGGTTAAAACAAGTTGTTAGAAACATTGAAGACCCTGTAATGTTGAGATCTTCAAGTGAAGAATGCAGAATTATTCCTTTCACTACAAAGAAAATCCCTGTATTTCAAATAATAATTCAGAAGAAAGTATTTTATACCGTTGAGTACTCAAGAGCTGTAGATTTGCCAAGCATCAGCCGATGTGCTGACATCTCTTACCATATGTTGTGATGTGCTTATTTAAGCTTGTGATAGTGATAAAGGTACATATATTACTTATGATCATTGAATCTTAGATGTATTTTCAGCTGCATAGTTTTCAAAGATAGACTGCTCATTTTCTGTGTTTTGAGTGGTACTAATGTAAGTTATGGCCAAGCTACATGTTCAGAAATCCCATTTCTGCTTTGTTCATAGAGACGTTCATCTCAACGAACAATAACATATCTACACAGCATTCTGTGAACACACTAATCTCCATAGATAGAATGAAAATCAAGTGGTCATATTAGAAGGCATGTGCTTACATCACTTATGAATACCTTGAGCTGGAAAATGAAAAGATTGATTCCACCATCTTTCCTCCCTCCACCCAGACTGTTAATTCTGTGAAGACTCCAGCCAAGGTGCCGGGGAAATATGGCCTGTCATGAGAGATGCAGTCTGGCTGGACAGCTCTGTCCCTGGAGGGAATGAAACACTGACCTCAGAGGAAGTGACTAAGGACAGATGGTACTGAAACAACATTGTCTGGGTCACTTTAAAAAAAGAAAAACATTTAGATTTTATTTGAAATTTAAGAATTATTTTTACTTATTAATGAAAACATGAAAGCTTTCTAGTAGATAAAGTGGCAGAGCCTTCTAATCTAATACAAATTCAGTGGCGGAGTCTCATTCTTGGAGGTATTTAAGAGACACTTAGACATGGCACTAAGGGACGTGGTTTAGTGTTGGGACTCTGTAGGGTAGGTTGGCACTTGGGCTTGGTAATCTTGGTATTCCAGCTTAGATGATTCTATGATTCCATATCCTCCTTCCCTCTGTGGAGGAAACTCCCCTGCACTCTTCACTCTGTCCTGTACTGTGTTGCTCAGTGATGCAGCCTTATGAAATTCACTCCCTCATATGTTGCCCAGTGAAAATCTATCTACCTATATGTCATTGTGGCAACAATTGTAATCTCTAGTTGACAATATGAGTATCAAGCATTCTCTATCTGTTTTTTTATGACGTTTTCCTTCATCTAAAATGCTAATGAACTTTCTTTCATGTGCTTATTTCTGTAGGATGATCCTTTTTAATTCATGTAAGCATTCAGAAAGGCAAGATAAGCTACACTAGAATAGACTGAATTTTATTAAAATAGTTTAATCATTATGTTATGGGTTTGTACTGCTAAAAGACCCAGACATACAGGCATAAACATATACATGAATGTATTTGGCAACTGTTAATGTAATTTAACAGATAATTTTCCATTTGCACAAGGCAACTAGAATGCAGTACTAACTGTCTGGTGAGATTACCTCCTTTTACATTTGGGTTTACAGTAATCAGTGCTTGTCTTACTGCTCCTTCACTTCCTCAAAGCTGAGAGCTGCTACCAACGTTTGTAATTTAATTACTACTGCTGGTAGTTCATATTTTTGTTGATATGTTTTCACTAATTCCCAGGCCTCTTTTAAACCTCATTTCTGTGTTCCTCTTTTAATCTGAGATGAATTCTTCAAACACTGCAAATACAGGCTGAAACAGAGCAAGTATCACAGTGCAGCAATGTTCAGGAACAGATTAGAGATTCTGTTGCTAAGCCAAATTTTTAGATCCTGTTGAGAATCTGCCCTAGGCATATGGTCTAAGAATAGTGAAGGCTGTGTATAATTAGAACCAGGGACTGTTCCTGTGCAGATAAATTTATAAACATTTACTTGTACAATATAAATTGCAAATACATGATCACAGTCATTTATTAATTACCAGAGTTAGCCCAGCATCCTTTTTTCAGCTGGACTTCAAGAGTGTGTCAATAGAGTAGAAACAAATGCATTTGGAAGCATTTATAATTTAAACTCAGTCTATTTATCAGATGGCAATACTAACAAAAAATAAATGAGAAACAGCATGACCTTGAAGGGGAGTCCAGCATCTGCAGACTTGCCCTTTGGCTGTGTGTATTCTGTCTTCTGCACACTGAAGTGAAGTGCCAACACTGTCCACTCAGTCCCTAATGCATCATCACAAAGCACACACGTGTAACTATTCACACGGACAACAATACCCACGAGGGTCTTCTTTGGACCACAGCTATGCTAGACAACTCCTTTTCTAGTATGACCTGTTAATAAGAGAAGCTGCATAGGGAAAAAAATGCCCTGCGTTTACTGTTATGATAAGGGTCTGGAAATTCAGCAGGTGTGCATCCTGCAGCTTCACAAGCTCCAATTGCATGCACTGTTACAGAAGAGATGGAGAATGCTATCATTTGCTGCAAATATAGACTAGATAATTATTCTTGCAATCAAATAATTATTTGCCGTGTCATCAAATTTCTTTATTAGTGTATGCGTTATGCCAAGTAATTGCTGTTAGGCTTTTGTTTCAAATGGAGGCATAGTAGGGACATTTAACAACTATTATACTACTCTGCATCTTGCAATACAAAAATAAACAAATCAGCTTTAATTAATCATCAAACCATTATTCAAGTACAGGTGTTTGCTGTATAATTTCTGACACTCAAAAGCAGTACTTCCAGCTATAGCAGTGCAAGTAGTATTGACCAATCTTCCTTGAAAACATTAAATTTTATTTATTTTATGATAAATGGTCCAGTATTAAATAATAGTAACAGTAAGCAACTTGCAGTGTGGAGATTGTTAATGTTAACAAGCCATTTGAAGAGATTCTCCTGAAAACAGGTCATCTGGAGAGATCATAAATGCATCAGATGGTATCACAGACTTCTAACCACATTAAAAAACCTTCAATCAACTTTTCAATTCTACTGTCAACTGTGAAGAAAAAAAAAAGACAAAAAGAAGGGAGGAAGGGAGGAAAAGGCTATTAAGATCTTTCTAAAACTTCAGCACCATACACTAGTAGGTATATATTTAACCAGTACAGTGTTCTATTTTAGAAAGTGTGAAAACTTGGGGGCAAACAGAAGAGATCATATTCAGTAGTGGAGACTGAAAAACACTGGAAAACAACCACTCTCCATTGCAAGCCTCACATTTCAACACTCTGCAAAAACCTGGCTTACATATCTAACAGTGCTTTGGATGAAAATAATTTTGCTGTCCATGCGATAGTTTAGATTTGGTTCATTAATAATTCACATGTACTACAGAATATGATCTAAGACCCATTTCCAAAGCAAAATAGTAGCAAGGCAAACAATAAGCAGCCTGCTCATTTAATACACCTCAGAACTATAAATATTAGAATATCTATTTATTAAATCATTATTATTATTATTTATTATAAGGAGCTCTTCCAACAAAAGATGACTATATGGGCTGTGGGAAGGTTTTACATGGAGGTGACTCAGCAAAGCATTTTTTGTTAGAGAAGCAGCTGTGGAAGGACTGAGAATGGAAAGAAAATGGGAAGTATTGTGGAACAAGAAAAAAAGAATGCAAATGCAATGGCTTAACCACAGCACTGAACAGCTATTGAGAACCACACTGGAAGTAAGCACCAGAGATTAATGCTGTAGGGTGAGGCTGTCCAGAGTGGCAGTAACCCTCTCTATACCACAAGAACCTGGAAGGTGTAGTGCATGTTACAGTGTCTGAAAAGACACTTCTGAAGAAGGGGTACAACGCTGGCACAGATAACCGGCCATATCTGTGCTGGTGGAAAGTGATACAGTTCCACTGGAGGAGAAGGAGCTGAAGTGATTTTCCTTATCTGAGGACCTGCTCACTAGTTTGTAAGATATGATGAAAATAAGGTCAAGAAGTATTGTGTACCTAATATGGGTGAAATGCTTGCATCCTTTATACAATACCCTCTGCATGAGCAAGGAAGATT